CCCACTTATAGACGCAGTCTTGGTCGCGGGCTGTGGAACTAAGCAGTGGAGGAGGAACACGGCTGAGGGACATCAGCCTCTAGCTCGGAGGGTGGGGAGTGTGTGTGTGTGTGTGTGTGTGTGTGTGTGTGTTTCCGTGTGTGTGTCTAGAAGTCGGGGGAGGGGGGCAGGGAGTTAAATAAACATAAAGACCTTTCTTTTTAAATCCCACACCCAAAGTCTAACCCCTAAATTCCCCAAATTAAGATTTCTCAGCTGACTAATGAAACCTTGGAGAGGGGAGGGGCATACCTACCTCTCTCCCTAACCACAAAACCCAGAGCGGGAGAATCGGAGCTGCCCCTTGGAGCTGCCTTGAGACCCTGCCCTGGCTTCACCCAGACAAGGTCGAGCACAGCTAGGCGTTGGAGGACTTAGCAGCCTGGAAGAGGCACACTTGACTCCCTTTGTTCATCTTAGCCTTCCACTCATCCCGATGGAGAAGCTAGCCAACTGGATGGCTTTGAAGGGCCAAGGCCTGGTCTCACTTCCCTGAATGCAAGCCAGAGGAGAGGACAGCCACCGGAGGATCTCTAAGCACGCTGGAGTTTGAGATCTTTTGGGGTAGGGACGGAGGAACTAGGAAGGAAGAGCATTCAGGAAGGATCTCCACTTTCTTTAAGGGCCCAGTTTGGCAACCAGCTCCTCTTCTCACCCCTAACCAGATGCTTCTGCTCACAGGGTGCTGGGAATGCCGGAGGGTCTCGACCCTAGGGAATGAACAGAGGAGTGGCAGGAATTACCCAAGCTTACAGTAATGTGCTGGTCTAAAGAGGTCTCCACCTCCCTCTTCCCAGATACCAGAACTCCTGGGTCTCTCCTGGGTCCCCGCGAAGACTTTTTAATTTCTGCCCCCTGAAAGTAGGTGCATGGCTCTCTGGTGCCCTCTGCTGATGTGTAGCGGCCACAGCTCCTCTTTCCTCCACAGACCCTAACACCAGCCTGCGGTCCACACACAACTAGAGGACAGAGAAAGGCAGGAAAACACCCAAGCTCACATGCAGAAGCCCCATATGCACAGACCCAGAGAATTCCTCATATGTTCCAAAGCACAGGCAAACACACGGTTTAAGAATAGAGCCACACTTTGCCCAGAGAAATAGGACTGCAATCTCATACATACACAAACAGACACCAACTCATAGACAAATAGGGCTTTTCAGTTGTTCATTCATTAATCATACATGCCACAGATAGTTCTTCAGCTCCAGGCTGCAATTTTCCAGTCACCATTCTAGGCTTTGGGGAGACAATAATGAAAAAAAAATGGCAAAGTCCTTCCCTTTAATGTTCTGGAGAAAAGTGAGAGGCAGTAGAAAAAATATAAAATATGCCAGGCGCGGTGACTCAAGCCTGTAATCCCAGCACTTTGGGAGGCCAAGGCGGGTGGATCACGAGGTCAAGAGATCGAGACCATCCTGGTCAACATGGTGAAACCCCGTCTCTACTAAAAATACAAAAAATTA